TGAACACGAGTTCATGTTTTCAGATCTTTTATCTGCACCCTCTTCCTCAGCCTCGTGGAGGCTTTTGTGAAGCTTTTGGTTAGGACTACCCTCTTCTCACTTACCTAAAAACCATCCAGCTCTAACTAAAATTTTGGTAACTCAGAATGCTCAGGGGAATGTCCTAGAGTCAATAAGAATAAGAAAGAGGACTATACACCAAGGGAAAACTTTCTTTTTAGTCTTTCACCCAAGCTATAAAATGTTTTACAGGACTCACTATATTAAGAACTTTTATTCCCACAAGTTACACTGTTTAAATGCTTGTTCTTAGAGTTGAGGCACTGCCCAAAAATATCTAAAGACACATGAAGCTATGAGACTCACTTTAATTATGTTTATTGAAGATATTTGTCAATATATATGGCTGTTATAAACTATATGGTTTATTAATAATATAAATATTCTCACTAAAATTTGAAAATTTGAAATTATATTTTTTCAGCCAGAGCATTTGTAAGTTAATACCTGGTGCATATGAAGAATTTGGGAACAATTTGTTATCTTGTTGCATAAATCTAAAATGTAAATCCTTGGTGCTATTCATTGTATCAGTAAAATGATATTACTAATCATTCCTCCATTTCTACCTCAAAGTAACCATAAAACTGTTCAAATCTGATTTTGCAGTCAGAAAATGACTTGCAATTATGCTCTTCTATAGATTTAATTCATGAAATTCAAACAGACATGCAGAATACCTATTGTGCGTGCAGTGAGAGCATGTTGAGAAAACTTGCCTGTGAGCACATGGAGTCATGTGTGATAAACTGCAGCCGACATGCCCACACTACTTTTCAGTCATATAAGTACAGATGGTAATTCAAATCGTAATTACCAGCAGTGAAATAACTGATTACTCTGGGGAAGCCTCCTCAATCATTTTTGCGTGGAAACCTATGTGTACACTTCTGTGCCGTCTCCACAATAACAGCACAGCCATATATGATTACGTGAAAATGCTTTCACAAGGAATGGAGCTGGGGTTGGGTGAGGATCTTAACAACCACAGAAAGACTCTTAATTTTAGCAAAAGTCTTATGGTACATGGCATCCTAGTTTGCTCAACCGATGTAAGTTACCTTCCTCAAGCAGATCCTTATCTTCCTGTTGCTGCACCTCAGTATGCCTGTCACATGCTTTATTTATTTATTTATGCATTTGGGAGGTGGGGTGGGCAAAGCAACGCCTATTTCATGTCACATTACTTTCACTTCTAATAACGATACTTAGCAACTACTTTTACTAGAATTGTTTCTGGTCCCTGGAGTAGTGCTCTAAGCTCTGACAGTCTATGCTGCTACTGCTTTAACTGCTAGATGACTTACATTTCCTGTAAGAGTTCAAGACTACAAATGCCCTCGTGTGCCCTGTTCTCTTTTACTGGCCAACTTGTGCTCCTTCAAGCACACTAAGCATTTTCCCCTCTCTTTCTCTCACTGTGGGATGCTTTTCCAATTTCTTCAACTGCAAATTCAACAAAGCAGTTAAATAATTTTCTTTTAAAAACATTTCCCTCAATATCTTGACTCTGAACCAACCTTAATTGCATATGATTTTGTCTCTATGACTACTTCAATTTGTTCTGTAAGATAAATTATTGGATTTCTCAAAGAAAATATTGTATTTTTCTTCATTTTCTATTCCCTCAAATACTGAGTTCACATAGTAAACACTAAATTCACCTTTATCAAAATTAATTTATAGGATATGACTAAAAATCTCATATTAAAATGATATATTAATATTGAAAGACTTCATGCCTAGATGCCTTTAGTCGACTAAAATTTCATTTAGATGCACATTGAAAAATAAGCATAGGTGTAAGGTATGGTAATCAATATTTGGTTGTGATTATACGATTCATCTTTGCATAGGTAGATACTGTATTGTTGCTTTATTAGCCTGATCTCTGTTCCACATAAGTCACTCTGATATTTAATAGTACTTAGTCTACATGCAATTAATTCAAAATTTTATTTTTGATAACATTATGTGGCATGAAATTATGAAAAGGCATTGAAAAATCTACTTAATTTTGCTTTGTTGAGTGATTTAGTTACAGTTCTGTAGAAGTTACAGATCATGTTCACTGCAAGATCATAAACAAAGAGGTCTTTGTTACTGTGTTTTCAACACAAACCAGCATTATCACTGTGCTAATATGTCAAGGTCACAGAACATGTTGATGATTAATGCTGAAAGTTATTGCCATAATGTGAAAGTTTTTCAAAATATGAATTCCAAGGCTGAACTTATTGAATAAAATTGTAAGACATAAACCCTGAAAAATTAATATGGATGCAGAATTTAAAGGGGGGATAAATACTAACATTCATTTAGCAAATACCTATGCATAGCTTTTAGAAATGGTAAAAGCGGGGAAATCAATGAGAAAGATTCTCAGATGAAAGATAACGGCTTGAACTGGGATGGGAGGAGCAGTGGATGCAGGCGAAGTTGGTCACATGTCAGAAATGCAGTAAAGAAAAACTTCAAATACTGTTCACTATTGGTTTGGGGTTTTATAAGCCCCAAACCCACTATATTAAACATCTGGCACATGAAATAAAAAGTATAAGTTGTTTTGTTCCGCCAGCTCTATTTTCATATTTCTAAGTTATCTCTTCCACTTTCACTCTTTGTTCAATTTCAAATACTTTTATGTGGTACTTAATCCTTAAAATTAACCAAAAACAATTTAATGAGTGACCAAAATAGTAAAAGAAAAGTATTATCACAAACTCACATATTTAATCAGATCTTAGTACTTGTCTAATTGTTCTCATAGTTCATCTCATGCCCTTCTTCTATTCATGTTTTAGTTCAGCATGAATCAATTCATGCAATAGCTCAAAAATTGCTGCATAAATTCTTTCCTCCTCTAAATTGTTCAGTGTTTCCCCATGAACAAGTAGTACTGGGGATTTTAGGCAGTATGGCAGGCTAGGAAAGAACAGTTTCTCAAATATCATCTCATCTCCTGTCTATAAATAGGACAGACTGATGTGGCCTAAGGATCCTCATTAAAGTCAAGTTGTAATGGATGTTTTATTATACACAGTCTCAAAGAATGATAAATATACACAGTTTCGGTGAATGGGGTACGGAATAAGTTCTGTATTCAATGATGGGACAAAAAGTTTGGAAGCAAATGCATGTGGAACCATTTTTCTAATTAGTATCAAAAAGACACATTATGTCATAAACAATAGCAAACCACAAGAAGTTCGTTTTGGACAAAGGCACGACAGAGAACTTAGCTTGCCAAGCACATTTTGCTTTTGAAAATTAATTTTTGGTTCATACTTGAATATTATTTTTACACATAAAATTTGTAGTACATAGTAAATGGATGAGGTGGTTATATTCCTTATGATTTTTATGAAAGAATTTATTGTGTTTAGGTTTGGAGTTCTTATATAGCAGAAAGCAAAATAACACGAATATGTCTTATGAAGGTATTTTGACTTTCGTATCAAGAAATTTGGTGATGACATAAAGACAAGAGGAAAGCACCAATGATAGATTTATTTTCAGAATTATGGTCACTTTGTGAATGACATATGATATGGAAATACCCTTACTTTAAAAGCTTACAGTCAATATTGAATAATTTAATCCATTTAAAATATTATTATAAGCAAACATATTACCACATGTGATTTCTTTCTTTCTGTATTAATGACAAAATAATAATATTCTTTCTTACTGATTGTAGATTTTAATTCTAATTTAAATTTAAATGAGGAGTGCTGATATTGTAAGAATCCACAAGTTTTTACAATAGTTTAAGAAAAACATGGGAGTTGTTCCAGGTTTCCTGTTCTTTATTCTTATAAGAATCAAAATCATTAAACATTATTATTGACTTCTGAGAAATCCAAGAAAAAGTTGAGATGTTTAAAAGTACTTTGTAATCATGATTTCCTCTAGGTGATTTACAATTCACACCCTCTGGGAGTGAGTTTGTCAGTTGATCTGACAAAGAGATGAGTCAGAAGTCTGAATACAGCCTACATTTCATGATATGTTAATGAAAAGGAAATGTATGCTAATTAGTCATTTTTATATTTTAAAATTTGCACTCAGTTATAAACTGTAAAAGCATAGAAAATGTACAAAGTAAATACTTTTATTCTCTTAAAACATAATGCTGACCTTAAGATTCATAAATTTAACAGATTACACTGCAGTACATCAGAAAACTTTAAAAATTGTGCTGAATATACATGAGAAATTTATATTTTGTTAAAAGATACTATTATCATAGTCCAGGAAAATCCATTTCTCATAAAACAAAAAGGTATAAAAATTAAAATAATTATAATTTATCTTGAGGTCAGGATTATGTTTAAAGAGAACAAAAAAGTGTTTACTTCATTGCTGCTACAGCACTATAATCAAAATCTAAGGCACACTTCCAGGGTTATGAGCACTTCCACAACCCTATGAGATCCAATCCAAATCTGCCACGAGTCAATCATCTGAGCTTTGCATGGAGCCTCTAGCCCTCGCACTTGTTTTCCTGGTTCTTTAGATTAGCAGTATCACATTACTACACCAGAAGATGAATTATCATGATGTATCCCATATGAGTGAGAACTTTTCCCACTGATACATGGTTCTGACTGGAGGAAAAATTGGATGTAAGAGCAAAGGATGAAATGCTGATTTATTAAAGCCAGAAAAGACAGGTTCTATTTCCTCTTATGCTTTTCCCATGAATAGGAGCTTCTTTTAAAGACATAGCATCTATTGTGCAATTTCAAAGGTTAGCAAACCTGAGGTCCATGACCCCAGAACTCCATCACACAACTGCTCAACTCATCACCACACTGCTCCTGAAAAGCTCACTACTGAACACCACTTTGTATTACATAGAATGAGTTATGTTCACTATCATACTGTTTCCAAAAATTGCCAACACAGACAGATAAATTAAAAGATGGAAAGCATACCAGACACAGCGAGGAAGTCATCAATGCTTGTAATGTCATCCACAGCTTCAGTGAGAACATGTATGTAATTCTCCCACGTGCGCTTGTACATTTCCATGGTATTTTTCACCACTTGACTTTTGGGTCTTGCAGCCAAAGCAAGTGCAGCATTAATAATCTGTAAAGAAGTAGAGTATTTACACAGTGAATTATTTGTAAACAATTACCAGTGTGAGGATTCCACGTATTCTTTCTTCAAGAAGTTAGGTACATTTATTCTTAATAACAGGATAAATGGTAAAATGCCTCTTCCCTCTTTGCTTTTGGTAATGATTTTATTTTCAGAAGTAATTCAATTTAAAAACTATTTATTAAATAATATTACCAAATGACTTCAGGAGATACAAAGAAAATTGCTGTTTTCCTTTGAGGAGCTTGAATATTACACAATGAGAAAGGGTAGCAGATAACTATAACTTCATTCCATAGATTATAAATGCCATGAGAATAAACAACAGTCAAAAGACAACAATGAGCAGAGAGTTCACCTTCAATAGATGTGCTGAGGAAACAATTTAGGAAAGAGAAACACTTTAACTGGGCATCTGCATTCACACTGAACAATTCGATAGACAGTGGATGTGCCCAATATGAAAGTCGCTAAAGGAAGAGCTGTGACTCATTTGAGGGCTTGTAGATATTTTGTTAATAATCTTTCATATAGGGCTGGGGATTTAGCTCAGCGGCAAAAGTGCCTGCCTGGCATGCGCAAGGTCGTGAGTTCAGTTCCCGGTACCCAAAAGAAAAACCAAAAAAAAAAAAAAAAAAACTTTCATATAGTCATTCCCTATTTCAAATATATACCAAGTATCTTCTATCTAACAAACAGTTTCCCTAGATTTTAGGAATATGGAAGTGAATAAGACACAAATGAATTTCACCACCTTCCTGGAGTTAATATCCCAGACAGAGAGATCTGGCAATTAGAGATAGGCAAGTCTAGTAAGGGAAATATACAGTTTGTGAGATGGTTGTGAAAAACTAAAAATTAATTATATGGTAAAAATAAGGATAAAAATTCGAATTGTGGAAATGGAGCAGATTTACAATTTTAGGAAGGCCTTGTATTTAAGCACATGTTTGAATAAAATAATTGGTGAGGAAGAATTTTGGGGCAGAGCAGTTGGAAGATTTAAGAAAGTACAAAAATAGGAACCTCTATGAGAATGATAAGGCATTTCATCTAGAACCTGGATATACAAAGGGACCAGCAGGAGCCCTTGACTGGCCTGCTCAGGACGGTGGCCTTATTTGGAAGGCACTGGAGAGTCCTGTTGACTTGAGGACAATTTGCTCAGAACCGCTAATTTGTCAGCAAACACAGAAACCTATTGCAAAAGGGAGAGCCTGAACTATCACGGTGGAGACAAGAACAGTTTCACAGGATTTTCAACTAATTAAAGGAAGATGTAGCTAGGTCTGAGATTATTGCCAGAAATAACACGCAGCCACTAACAAATCCACAGAAAACAATACGTAAGGGCAGAAATAAAAGTGAAAAGCATATCACAACCATGTACTTCGTAAGGAGTTGCTGGTACACATAAAGTACATGCGAACACGCTGCAATAATGACTGGAGGTTCTCTCGGGTGGTGGTCTTTCAAGTGGTCTTTCTTTTCTTGTTACGCATTTTTCAGATTTTCTAGTATCTTCTTTTGTATGCTCAGAATAAATGAAGCTGCTCTTCAAAGAAAGATGATTAGTTGGGTTTTTTTTCCAAAGTAAAGGAGGAAATGGTGGTAGCATCATTTAAAAAGGGCAGGTCAGCAAGTTAGAATCAGGCCTACAGAGGCCACCCTGTGGGGTCCTTTTGGAGAATGCAGGTGGTGAACGTGCCATGCATCCACTACCCTATGGCAAAGATTGACTTGGAAGTAATTCTTTGCTTTCCCTACGCAATGTGGAATATAAAACAAAGATGTACTTTTTAAAAAAAGTTTATTCATTTACATTTCATTTGTTCAAGTCTTAAGGCAAATAGATACTCCGTAGCCATACTAAGATGCCATCACAGTTTCTGTCCTATAACGGCCTATGGTCCAGCACGGAAATCAGACCAAATGCAGGCAGTTGTAACCAACCAGTGGTGCTGACTAGCCTATATTAGGATTGTCTGGAGCCTTACCAAAACAGATTCCTGAGCCACTCCCTTAGAGTTTGTGATTCAGTTGATCTGGGTTGGAGTTTGAGAATTGGCTTTTCTAAGAAATTCCAGCCTACTGGCCTGGGGGTCATACTCAGAGCTCCTGTGAAGTACGGTGATAAATCTCCAAGATGAGCCCACCAAAGGGGCCTTATACACATGGGAAAGTCACTCCCATTCACAATGAGAGCTGTCCCAAAGAACAGGCCCAAGTAGAAAGTATAGAAGTAGTGACAAGATCTTCTTCAGAAGGGAGAGTAATAACATATGCGTGGACGTAGGACCAAGACAGAGCCCAGCCCCACCTCCAGGAGAACAGTGAGTTAGAGGAGACAGGAACAGAAGTAACAGGAAACCAAAGATGAACATGAAAAGATGAAGGAGACAGGAAAACATCTTTGGAGAAAAAGATCAAGGGGAAGTGCTCCTAAGAGGAAACAGTGTGAAAATTAAGGTATTAAAATCAGAATATGCAAATCTTTTCAAAAGGTCAACTACTCAGGAGAGTCAACAATAATGAGATCTGAAAAGTGGGTTCTGAATTTGGAAAATGGGGTCACTGGCATAACTCAGTAGATAGGGTAGATAGTAGATAGATTTCACCAAATTCAGTGGCAAAAATAAAAGACCATCTTCTCTACTCAGAAACCTAAGGACTGTGCCTTACTTAGACAGCTTTCAAGAAATTATGGGAAGAGAAGGAAGGGTGAAATTAGTTGGCTAAAAATATTATGTTGATATTCTCTTCTTTTATTTCTTTCTTAAGAAAGAATACTGTCTTAAATTTTAAGGGAAATGTACACTAAGTTTAGAAATAACTGCTGTGCAGTGCTCCTTGAGTTCAGCTTTAGAGTTTTATTACCCTATTAACTCACAACGTACCTTTGTGTTCACTGCGAAATCTCTGGTCTCTGGTGTTTCATTGTTCCTGCAAAAGGACAACTGTGCACACAGGTGGCGAGGCTGAAATTATGCCTTACAGGCAGGCATTCCTTAAAGTGCTGGTGCAGAACCCTCAGTGGGGATGTGAAGCCATGATGATAAGACACAGTATATTTTATAAGAATGTGTTCAGTTCTTCCGCTGGTCCGGTTTACCTGATTCACAGTGCACTCCACTAAAACACGCTGTCCTACTTGACTCTCCTTACAGTGAGCTTAAATATAAAGCAGATACAGTGCACAAGATGCACTACTGCTTTGAAGGCGAAAGAAACCGTCATTCCAATGTCACACTTCTACCACTTCAACTATATTACTTGAGAAAAAAATTGACCATTATTAAATCTTTTTCAAGCATAACTAAAGATTTTTAAAATGAATTAGCTTGCTCTCTTTTTTCTTTAGATTACGGTTGAGGTGAGAACACATAGAAACACCTCAGACCTTGCCAATTACATATTTACTCAACTCACACTTAACAGTCTTCTAAAATTGGGCCTTTTATTTAAGTCTTGACTGTCTCAATAACAAAGTTTCTTCCAGTTGCTTCTGCTTCAAGTCACTCTCCTTCCTACAAAGCCATTGTTTCCCTGTTGCAGAAGAAATCATGTCTCTCATTCTTACCAATAACTTCCAATACAAACTTAATTGAGTCAAAGGCAAAATCAAAATTTCTTTTCACTGAAATGCTCCATGGGTTACCAACAGGTCACTCTGCTGAAAATCTCATGTTAGCTTATTTTCCATCCACAATATCTTAAATTCTGTTCCCGGACTATATTCTGCATTTTCATATCTCTGCAATTTTGCTCTTATTATCGCACTCGACTTACTGCCCTTGATAAATTCCTTTCTCTACTCTGCTCCATCTGAAGAAACAACTTCTATATCTAACAACTTCTGAAAATGTCACCCTATCCTATGAAGCCAATCCCACTTGCAGTACCCAGAAAACTATGCAGTCTTCTCCACTATGCTTTCAAAGTACTTTGTTCATACAACTAAGTAGTAGTTACCCTATTGCACCATTAGACACATCTGCTCTTGGAGCCCCTTCACAGGAGAGACTATGTTTTATTCATCTTTTTTTCTTATTAAAAATATAAATCACGGAAATTTCTGTATTCATAAACCATCCTCTAAAAAAAATCTATTCTTCCCCTGGCTTACACTGAGAGGAGAGCCACAAGGAATCTGGTTTGTTATCATTTTCTTCCTCTTCCATACTGATTACGTCCTCAGTGGGGACCTCCCCCGGAACAGTCAATCTGTAGTAACTGAATCTGATGTAAGGTTGAGCTGTTTCAACTTCTCTTGGAATTTTGAGCTATAATTTATGAAGAAATCACTAATTAGAACTGGAGGTTAAAGTGAAAAGAATCATAGAGAGGAGCCATGTTGTAAAATCAAAGCTGCAGTGGGCTTGGAGAGCGGAAGCCATGATGGAATTAAAGAAAGGAAAAGCTGTAAGGAAAAAGGAGCTATAAGTAGATCAAAGGTAAGAGGTGAAGAAAAGAGTGAAAAGTAAAATAAACCTGTGGATAGCAGGAAGAGAATGGAGAACGTAAGTATGAATCACAAATACTAAACCTGAGGAGATGACACACAGAGGAAAACAATGACAGAGTTCACTGTTTTCAACAGCATCAGTTTGGGTTTAGAAGAATAGGGACATTATAATAGCAATAGTAACAAATACTAACATTCAAAGTTCACACTTTATACTGAAATTGTCCAGAGTAATTTCTGCACATAAAGGCCTCTAATTTTTACAAAACCAGAATGAGGTAAATGCTATAATTACACCCATTTTCAAAGTCATCTTGTTACTAGGAAAAATTATCACCCTGATCTAATGGGATTTCATGTTCTGAAAATCTGATACTGTGTGTCTTAGTAATTAGATTACAATTTATGATGCCAGTGAGTTTATAACCCTTAACACCTAATGGGCTTTATTGAAAGAAACATTATAATACCTGGTTTGGAGTCAAAAAGTGGTGTTTGTGTGTGTGTGTGTGTTAAAAAAATA